GTAGCTATATATGTGCGCAAAATAACTGTTTTGATATTTTCACAGAAGATTAATATACACCTTAATTGTGAATGTTAAAAGTTCAAAGGAAACCATATAGGCACTTTTAAAAAAAACTTTATGTATTCTTTAAAACAATGTCTTATAAGAGTAGTGGATATTGATCTATCATATTTTCAAGATAAATAGAAATAACAAAGTTACAATATGTAATTGAGAAATACTTGGGACATAAATATCCAATTCTCTTATTATCCCTAGTATTTAATATTTTACTGATTATAAGTTTAAAAAATCATTTAATGCACTGCAACAGTATTGTATAAAATGTGATTTAGGGTGAGGAATGGAATAAAAAAATTGTTTGATCACGTTCTAGATTTAGCTTAAGATTCTATAATACTTTGTGCTCTGAAGTATCTATCTTTAAATGGCAATGTGATTAATATTAATACAGCATACACTTTATAATCATAAAAGCACAAAAGGTAGATATTTTCTGAACAATTAATGCAATTAACAAAATAATGAGCACAAAGCATTGATTAAAATAACTAAGAATATCGAATATACTTACCCAGATGTTTTACGGCTAGACCCATTCTCCTTGGAAGATTTGTCTTTGGATGAGGAGTCCTGCTCCTACGAACAGCAAACAGTTGAATGCCATGCCAGCCAGCCGATGTGGCAGGGACGCGCGAACAAGGGGACAAAAAGCAAATCATAGAACGTTAGTAAATTTTGCAACAACAGGTTGTGTACAAATTGTACAATTAAAGTCTGACAATAGTATCAGAAATAAAATATATTGGTAATAAAGTTCTTTCTTCTGTTAATCTTTATAACCATGTAGACAATTCTCCTTTCAGCATTATATTATCGAAGATGTATATGCTGCTGAACGATGGTGCACTCTTGTGCTCTTTCTCTTTTCCAGGTACATTATATTGGTCTCTGGGGGCTGAGATGGGGAGACAGAGAAGAAAAAGAGAGAGAGACAGACGGGGCGAGCTTAGTGTTGCGATGCCTCGCATACACCTGGCTCAAACTTACCAATCGTTTTATCGGGTTTTAGGAAAGCATTGCAATCTTGGGTTGAGCATGCCTTGGTCTTAAACTACCAATGGCCAACCACACATCCTTTTTCTTCTGCAAAAGAGAGCCCTCATCAAAGACAGTACGTTTTTATTGTAACACGAGATGTGAACCCTAATTGCTAGCCTACAAACCCTTCATATATAGTGAATTAACTATCTCTATCCATGTAAAAGGAACAAAACGATCAACGATCATTTGCAGCTTCCAGTAGATACATATTGCTAGGTATCTTTATATGGAGAAAATGTTTCAAACGATTGAAAGGAATTAGTAAACCACATTGATGTAATGAAATAATGAAAATGATGTAAATGTAATAATGGTATAGGAATCATTGATTTATATCTGAGAACAATGTCTTAAAACTCTGGATTGTGATTACGAATATTTTATAAAACATTTTCTCATTTAGAATGCCCTAATTGATATTCCTGCTCGCCAATTTACCATGCATTTTTTTTATGAAGCAATAGTTTCAAATTTATAACCGTATAAATGATACTTCTTTAATGATAAATTAGAAAAAATGTTAAATTAAACAATAAAGTATATACATA